CAACATGTCTGCCCAAAAGCAACTAATTAGACTCAAACTTTGATATATTTGAATTTATTTGCTATTTCACCATAGACATTAGCTTGTTTAAACTAACAGTTTTCAGATTCCATTGCTAAACTAGAGGAATTATTATAGCACACTAAAAGTACTGGCATAATTAGAACTGTCCTATTCTTAAAAGAGAAGTAAGGCCAAAGCTTTTTTGTACTTATATGTGTTCTGTTGTGACCAGAACTGCTGTTAGAAACCATGGGCCCCCATACAGCCAACATGACAGGGCCCCCCCCCCTAAAAAAAACACTTTACTATGCTTCAGTTATGAATGAACACAGTGAGTGATGGGTACCGATCACTCCCTGTGTTCATTCAGGAAAGGAAGGAGCTGGTAAATGTGACATATATACAGGACCCTTCCCCCACTCTCCATCCTGAGGGATCCTATTGTGTGCTTGCAGCTGCTGTTGGGAAAAAGAGGAGGGGGGGCCGGTAGCACTTCAGAGGGACTGGACAGCAGGGGAAAATCTATGGTGCACAGGAAGGGTGATTTTTTTTTCTTTACATATAAAAAAGTCATTTTAACATATATCTTTACATATATTAGTAACTGCCTTCCAAAAATGTAGATTTGTATTTTTAAAGACATACAGTATATTTGAAATGTATTTTTAAAAATATTTTTCATATAAATATATCATATAAAAACGCATTTCAACCTGCAGAATATATATATATATATATATAGATATAGATATTTATATATAGATATATATATATATTTTTTTTTTTTTTTTTAATTTATTTATTGAAATATATTTTGAAATATATTGAATATGGCCAAAATTGTAGCATTTCAAATATATGTCAATATATTTGGGAAGAATATTTTTAAAATATATTTCAAATATATTTTTCTTCCATGTGGGCCCCCTGCTTGTCTGGGCCCCGTACAGGAGGACTGTTGGTACCTCCTTATCAACAGCCCTGCCAGTGACCCAGAATCAGCTACAGTGGGCTAATGGCCGTTGCCGGCTGACATCACAGCTCTGGAAGGATCCTGCCCATATGATCGGGTTCACGGGGTTCTGACTGACAGCTAGCTCCTGCTCTCAGCGCTTGATTGATTGCGGAAGTCAGCTGCGCCTGCTCCCTCTCAGGCCTGGACGGGCAGAGCAGAGAGCGGTGCCTTACAGTCACCTCTCTACACTCAGAGCAAACCCGAGAACTGAGGGATCAGCAGTCCTTGGCAGGGGAACAGCTGCAGCATCAGACCTGCATCATGAAGGTGAATACGTATGTTTGTTTATTTAAAGTTTATCTAAATGCTTTTTTTTTTTACTTTGGATAGAGTAAGGGTGGGTTATAACCCCTGGCTTTTTTTTCCATCTGTGTTCCATTGGGAGATTTTCCTTCACTTTCTGTCCCATAGCCAAACAGGAAGTGAGAGGAAATCCCTACAAAGTGAGGGAATCCCAGGGTGTCATCAGAACTAGTGTCCTTATTGGAAGATTTCCTCTCTATTACTGTTCTGGTGTCAACCCAAAATTTGGGATTTTTTCTCAGTTTCACTTTCGATGATAACCGTAAACAGAACAAATAGGGTGAATCTCCCTAAGGGGACACAGACAGCAATAAATACCTGAAAGGTGTTCTAATCCATCTCCACTCTGTCCAAAACGAAAAAAAGTTTTGCCTTTAGTTATACTTTGACAACCTTAAATTTCTCCTTTAATATGCAGCCTTTCTGTTCAATTAAAAAACGTATTGTCCAACATTCATAATGAGTTGCTCATCAATGTTATAGGAAAACGTATAAATACATTGTTCTGGAAGTGGGGACCACATAAATCCATATTACTATTGTGGTAACCACATTTTAAGGGAACAAGTCAAAGTGTTATGATCTGATCAGTAAAGTATAATTACTATAAAATGCCATGACCTGATTAGTAATGAATACCTATTATAAAATGTCTTGATTGGTAATGTACACCTGCTATAAAATGCCATGATCCGATTAATAATGAATACCTATTATAAAATGCCCTGATCAGAATAATAATGAATACCTATTATAAAATGCCCTGATCAGATAAGTAATGAATACCTATTATAAAATGCCATGATCCGATTAATAATGAATACCTATTATAAAATGTCCTGATCAGATTAGTACTGAATACCTAGCAATAGGTATATGCGAGCGCTAATATAAAATGACAGCAGCTTGGACACTTATAGGTACCACAGAACCCTTGAAATCAATAATGTAAAAGAAATAGTGCAGCACTGTATATAAAGAAATGATCCAATGAATACAAGATATTAAGAAAAAAATTTCAGACAATGGTATGTTGCCACCTGTGGGTGGTTAAAGTCTTTGAATTGCAGGTTATAAACTCCGAATTTTATCAGTTCAAATTTTGAGGACTGTAATTCTTACCATATAATGGTATAGAGATGAATGAATAAATTGCGCACTCACCAGAAGTGCGTTATCAAAACACATTTGAGAACATACTCGTCTCATCAGGTTAGTCAGGATAATTGCTTCCAGGCGTAGTCAGGTTCCCACACTTGCAACTTTGAGGACCCCTCCACTGGTATCACGGGTTCAAGACACCTCTAAACTGGTCTCTGCGAGTAATGAAACTCGCAGGCAACCAAAGAATAATGCCACATAGCGTGATACTGCATTCAATGGGGTAATTTTATTCCAACAAAGTTAAAATACATACAAGGTAAAGAACTGACCATGTGAAGAAAGATGACCACCAACGGCGATGGGGACGTCAAGGTGCTGTAGCCCTTTACCCTGACATGTTTCGTGCGAAGCACATAATCATAATCAGCCTGCACCCTATGATTATGTGCTTCGCATGAAACACGTCAGGGTGAAGGGCTACAGCACCTTGACGTCCCCACCGCCGTTGGCGGTCATCTTTCTTCCCATGGTCAGTTCTTCACCTTGTATGTTTTTTAACTTTGTTGGAATAAAATTACCCCATTGAATGCAGTATCACGCTATGTGGCATTATTCTTTGGTTGCCTGCGAGTTTCATTACTCGCAGAGACCAGTTTAGAGGTGTCTTGAAACCATGATACCAGTGGAGGGGTCCTCAAAGATGCAAGTGTGGGAACCTGACTACGCCTGGAAGCAATTATTCTGACTGACCTGATGAGACGAGTATGTTCTCAAATGCGTTTTGATAACGCACTTCTGGTGAATGCGCAATTTATTCATTCATCTCTATACCATTATATGGTAAGAATTACAGTTCTCAAAATTTGAACTGATAAAATTCGGAGTTTATAACCTGCAATTCAAAGACTTTAACCACCCACAGGTGGCAACATACCATTGTCTGAAATTTATTCTTAATATCTTGTATTCATTGGATCATTTCTTTATATACAGCGCTGCACTATTTCTTTTACATTAATAATGAATACCTATTATAAAATGTCATGATCTGATCAGTAATGAATAACTTATATAAAATGCCATTGATCCGATTAGTAATGAATACCTATTATAAAATGTCATGATCTGATTAGTAATGAATACCTATTATAAAATGTCATGATCTGATCAGTAATGAATACCTATTATAAAATGTCATGATCTGATTAGTAATGAATAACTATTATAAAATGTCATGATCCGATCAGTAATGAATAACTATTATAAACATGTCATGATCTGATCAGTAATGTACACCTGCTATAAATGTCATGATCTGATCAGTAATGTACACCTACTATAACATGTCATGATCTGATCAGTAATGTATACCTACTATAAAATGTCATGATCTGATGATCATAATGTACACCTACTTAAAATGTATGATCTGTGACATAACCCAATATAATATAAAATGCCATGATCCAATTAGTAATATACACCTATTAAAAAATGTCATGATCTGATCAGTAATGTATGATTACTATATAATGCCATGATCTAATCAGTAATGTATACTTCCTATACAATTGTACGATCTGATCAGTAACGTATACCTACCTGCCTTTGGCTCACCCTACATGTTAAAAACTACTTGACGACAGGGCATGGTGTTTTACAGATTTGATCAGAATCCTGTGTGTAGTTTATTATCTCTGGTATTAGCTCATCCAGCAAACTTCTAAAATGAAACATTAGTAATAATAAACCCTGAAATGGAAATAGGAATGAGCAAAACACCACCATAAAATATCCAAAAGAAATGACATGTATACAAAGATCCCACTTTATTTAGTTACATAGAAACCATTGGCATCACTTTCATACAAGCTAAATTGATACAAAACATTTCTATGTAACTAAATAAAGTGGGATCTTGGTATACATGTCATTTCTTTTGGATATTTTATGGTGGTGTTTTGCTCATTCCTATCTCCAGTTTAGGATTTATTATGGCGGATGTAAAAAAAGCACTGAGCCTTTTAACAGAATCATATATTGATTTAAAAAAAATGGTCAAATATGTGTCACATCCCTATTTCATTTCATTTACTTTTGACATGGTGGGATTTTTAGGCACAACACAATTGTTCTGTTACAACATACCATTTATTTATGCACACACATAAAATAATTTTTTTACATCAAATTTAGTGTCTAAAAACACACATGCTGAGACTTGCATTTCCAGTACATTACAGATCACATATTCAAACTCCCAAAAAGGCTCAACGCGTTTCCTGGATTTTATTCACTTCATCAGGAGCTAGAGACAAATATCACTAGATATAAAAACATATATATTGTTAACACTTATTATTATATTCCTCCCAATGTACAAATTAGTTTCCATATACCTGAATGTATTCAAAAAGAGAGGAAGAAAAATAGTTGTCAAAGGCAAAACAACCTGCAGTGCGGATTCAGTGAGAATTGAAAAAGAGTCCTGTCTGTTTTCTGAGCTGTGCGGTCCAGCTCAGGTGCAAATCACACATGTTATCATTTGTAAACAGGCTTTCAAGTGTTACTAAACCCAGGACATTTGCATTTACTATATCTGGTCTCCCCGGACCCTGCATTCACTATATCTGGTCTCCCCAGACCCTGCATTCACTATATCTGGTCTTCCCGGACCCTGCATTCACTATATCTGGTCTCCCCGAACCCTGCAGTCACTATATCTGGTCTCCCCGGACCCTGCATTCACTATATCCGGTCTCCCCGACCCTGCATTCACTATATCTGGTCTCCCCGGACCCTGCATTCACTATATCCGGTCCGGACCCTGCATTTACTATATCCAGTCTCCCCGGACCCTGCATTCACTATATCCAGTCTCCCAGGACCCTGCATTCACTATATCTGATCTCCCCGGACCCTGCATTCACTATATCTGGTCTCCCCGGACCCTGCATTCACTATATCCGGTCTCCCAGGACCCTGCATTCACTATATCTGGTCTCCCAGGACCCTGCATTCACTATATCTGGTCTCCTCAGGACCCTGTATTCACTATATCTGGTCTCCTCAGGACACTGCAGTCACTATATCTGGTCTCCCCGGAACCCTGCACTCACTATATCCGCTCTCCCCGGACCTGCATTCACTATATCTGGTCTCCTTGGACCCTACACTCACTATATCTGGTCTCCCCGGACCCTGCATTCAATATATATGGTCTCCCACAGTACACACAACATGGAAATGCAATTATTTTAGTAAATATAAACTGCTAAATACCTTTTCTCATCAGCGGTATAGAGCAGTCTTGTGACTTCTTTCAGAGTCCGGCTGAGCATTGGTAATCTTACAGGAGGAGTTTTCATTCTCCTCTGACTGTCCTATGAGGCTGCATGACCCCTGACCTTCTGTGTGGACAGCGCTGATTGACCCTGTGCTGATTGCATGCACCCCCCAAAGAGAAAAAAAGTCTCTAGTAATACACATCAAACTGAGCATGTGCAGAGTGACTCCTAGGGCTCTGTACTATCAGCAGATGGATGGATGGGGACATCAGAGAAGACAGGATCAAACAGCCTTTTTACATAATTCAGAGGATTAACAGGATTCCACAGTGAGTATAACAAGCATGTTTTACTGCATATACAGACTGTTTTTACTGTTGTGGGTTTAGTAACACCTTCAGTTTCAGCACAGTTTCCTCCTCCCCCTACTCTCCATCTCAATACAGCACCCAGCAAAGAATCCTGTCATGCTTTGCATCAGAAACGCAGCCAAACCGTTCCTGAACCACTGAACAGCAGAATTTACAGCTGTGATAAACACCACTTTGCAATGCACATTCAAATAGAAAACTTTTCAATCCACCTCATCAGTGGCATCCCTAGGCGGGTGCGAGGGGTGCTCGCTGCACCGGGTGACACCTATCGCACGGGGTGACACCGGACCTGCTCCACGAAAAGTAAGTTTTAAAATCAAGCCAACGATCCCCAGAGGATGGATCGGATCTGCAGATTGAGCTTAATGGATCGGAATCTGATCCATTATGCTCCCAAAATTTTGAACTGATTTGAAAATAACAAATATACAAAACAAATTGGAATATACAAAACAAAAACCTAAAATGAATCATTCTAACTAAACGAACATGACGAAATGAAATGATTAACTTAACGAATGAATGTGAAACAAGTTTTCTGTTGTGCACATCTCTGATGTATGTAGCAGCCGGCTCCGGTCAGGAGCAGGTGGCGGTCTTGAGAAGGCAGTTCTGGTAGTGGAGTGATCAGATGCCGGTGAGTTACTGCAATGTCATCCTCTGACATGGTGAAAGGCTAGCCCAGGGACCAGACCTGGACCCACCTAGAATGCACATCCTTGTGTGTGTGTATTGAAGTCATTGTTGCTCTTGATCAGGCCCAATGGTGAAGATGTACCGTGGAACCTGTAATGCAACCATGGCCAGATCTAGCCTCTCTGATCTGGGGGTGCAGTAAACAAAAGTCAGGGGGCATAATGACAACACTATGTGAGTCGCTGACAGTCTGTTGCACAGTGTCACGACATGGGAAACAGTAGTATGTATTAGGCTGTCATTGGATTGGGGTGATTAAACAGAGCCTTTGCCCCGTTATATCAGATGTACATACCAGAGTCTCTATTTACATCAGGAGTTCTCATCAGAGTACCCCTTTATTTCAGATTCCCATCAGAGTACCCCCTTATATCAGGGTCCCCATCACTATGCTCCCATACATCAGAGTCCCCCCATTGGAGTATCCCCCCTTACATCAGATGTCCCAATCAGAGCACCCCCCTTACATGGATTACCCGATTTGTGTCCCCATCAGAGTGCCCCCTTACATTTGATTAGATATCCCCACCAGTGTGCCCCCCTACATCACGTTTCCCCATCACAGCGTCCCCTTACATGGATTGTCCCAATCAGAGTGTCCCCTTACTTCAGGTCTCCCAATCCGAGGACCCCCGTACATTTGTGTCCCCATCAGAGCACTCTCTTACATCAGTGTCCCCATCAGAGTGCCCCCTTACATTTGATTAGTTATCCCCATCAGTGTGCCCCCCTACATCAGGTGTCCCCATCACAGTACCCCTTGCATGGATTGTCCTGATCAGAGTGCCCCCTTACTTCAGGTCCCAATCAGAGCACCCCCTTATATCAGTCTCCCAATCAGAGCACTCCCTTACATCAGTATCCCCATCACAGTGCCCCCTTACATTTGATTAGTTATCCCCATCAGTGTGCCCCCCTACATCAGGTGTCCCCATCACAGTGAATTGTCCCTATCAGCATGCCTCCTTACATTAGTCTGACTCATGGATCCGTGAGTGTATTCTCAGAGACCTGGGTGGGGCACGACTAAAATCTGGGGAGCACGGCCCACCCCAGCACCCCCCCCCCCTAGATCCAGCCCTGAATGCAACAGAGTCGGCAGGATGGGGTTGGGCCTTGCTGCTTGCCCCTTGCACCCTGCAAAGCTAACTGACCTAACAACCTGGCACCTGTTTCACCATTATGCACATGGTGGAACACTTTACTGTAGACCCTGACTGGAAGTAGCTGGCCAAGACTCCCCTCAACTAGGGGGCACTACATCCCTACATTGCTATGCCACCGGTCAAATGTATAATATGTCTCCTTGCACCTCTTAACCAGAGGCAATAAATACTGTGACGTACATTTAATTTGATCTCTGTTCTGTAACAAAGCTATTTATGAAAAGCCTGCGGTAAGAAATATTTTTAATAAGCATTCAGTGACTGCAATGTTCACACAAAACATACCGAGGAGACTGTGCCTAGCGAGAGGAAAATCTTGGACAGAACCCAAAGTCTGCATCAGAGGGAAAGCAACAACTTCCAAACATGGTTCTCATGGATCTTTCGAGGTCCTCTGTGTTGCATCGAACCTTAGATCCAGCAATTTGAAATGCTTTTTCCTCAGAAGGGATGCAACTCGCTATTTGCTGTTTAACCCTCTCACTACAAGCAGCTGACATCTGAAAAAAACAAAAAAGGTTAGGGTGGTGTACATGGGAATACTCTCCAGATAATAATGGTTAGTACATACAGTATAATCATTTAAAGTCAACCTGCTCTTATGGATTAACTTTCCAGGAGTCATTGATGTTCTGGCCTCTCTCTTGTGCTAGACATATAACCAATAGCCTAGACCAGCATTTTCCAAGGGAGGCTCTGTGGCACCCTGGGGTTCCTCCTAGGTCCATCAGGGTTGTCTCACTGCACATGGTATTTTTACATGGTGTCATGCATGTCTATGGCACAGGTGCATTAGCCACCAGGGCCATGGGTAGTCCAAGGAGGATGGCATTCAGGGAAGCCCATGCATTTGGAAGGTGATGAATGTCCACCTCCATCTTGACCTGTTCCGCCTCCCATCTCCTGCTAAGATTGAAAGGTGGGCCTCTAATCTGAAATGGGGGACTGAGCACTCTGATGCGATGGGGGGGGGGGGGGGGGGGGGGCAGGCGAGGACTCTGATGTGAAAGGGGGTGGGCCTTCTGTTTACTACTAAACAGAAGGTCTACCCCCTTTCACATTAGAATTCATGGAGGGCCCCTAGCTAGGACTGAACTTAGCTAGGCCCTCCATGTTTCTTCCATGTTCCTTCAGTCAGTGTTGGTACTTGGCAGAGACAGGGCTTACGTAAGCCACTGTCTTCTTATACTTCATAAGACTGGAAATACATCCTCTGCAGGGGCGGACTGACCATTTGGAAACTCGGGCATTGCCCGAGGGCCCGGGGTCAGTAGGGGGCCCCATGAGATGCCCCTGGTACCTTTTTCATAGGCCTTTTTGAGTTTGGGCAAAGACACAGGGGCCCCATGATCCCCTATTGCCCGGGGGCCCCATGAGTTGTCAGTCCGCCCCTGATCCTCTGTACTGTAATTATCTGAAAGCCTAACTTGGGGCAGAAATTAATTTATCTCTTGCAGTGGAGTTGTGCCCCCACAGGAAGGGTTAATATCTCACATTTTCATGGAAATAAGAGAAACAGTTTTACTTACCTGATCCTCTGCTCCCCCAGCAGGAGGCGTTCCCCCCACAATCCAGGGGTTGGCATCCTCTCAACCAGAGCAGGGCTATGACCCCTACTCTGTTCTCAATTACATCGGGACCCTAGACTGCTGGAGAGTAAGGGTGCAGAAGCTGCAGGGATCGGTCTAGCCACATGGAGGAGTGGTGAATCGGGTATGGACAGACTAGGTCTGAATAGGTATTTCAATGCATAACGTACCATTCAAAACAGAACAGCATGCACAGACGTTTTGACAACCCAACCTGGGTAAAACATTTTACTATCCCGTTCCCCCCAACACACACACACACTCTAAACAACAAAATAATTTTTCGTAACAGTCATGGAAGGAATAATAATAATAACCAGAAAAGATTCTTATACCCTCTTATACAAGTGGCCAGTGGAGAAGGGCCGCATAAGTTTCTGGTCTGAGTACCTGTACCTTGGTAATCATAGTTACATAGTTAGCCTGGCTGAAAAAAGACAAAAGTCCATCCAGTTCAACCATTCAAAAAAAAAAAGTTATAATCCTATACCCATGTTGATCCAGAGGAAGGCAAAAAAACCCAGCAAAGCATGATCCAATTTGCTCCTGCAGGGGAAAAAAAAAAATTCCTTCCTGATCCCCCCAGAAGCAATCGGATATTCCCTGGATCAACTTTACCTATAAA